TGAGAATTGACTCCTGACTCTGATGCTTCTGCTTCCTGAGGACCCTGCTCCTGTCTCCTTTCTCATCTCCCTAGTGGTAACTTCCATGTGGTTTTGTCACCGTTCTTGTTTACGTACTGCTCCCACCTGGTGCTGCTTACTGCATGTGTGCTCCTGGTATAAAAGCATAACCACGCTGCAGCAGAACACCAGTGCCGTGCCATGCCACGCCACGGAGAGAAGGTGTGGGAGGTTGTCCTGGGTTAATATTGGAACTGAAATTTGGAAAAGGCATCTAAGAATTGAGTAGAACCCTTTTAATTGGCACAGATCCTAGTAGAAAAACACGAGAGACAGCAGCACTGCACGTGACTTGATCACCGGTCTTGTGATACCTGTTGCTTTTTAAAACCCCAGCCCTTGAATTCATGTGACAAGTTGAGAATCTCAACTTTTCTTTTTTTGATGAGTTTCTAGTGTCTTGGTTGTGAAAAGCTTGAAGAGGTGAACCCCAAAGGGTCCAATAGCAGAAAGGAATATTTTGGGGTCTTTTTATTGGCTAATATCCACACCTCGTTTGTAAGTCAGTTTCATTATTTGGGTGGGAGAGGGAGCGGGGACTCATGAATTTTGAACACTTGGGGTTGGCAGTATCATGTATGCCAATGAACTGGTTGTCGTGCTTACTGGAGCCTCTTAGGAATATGTTTTGTGTAAGGGAACAGCGATAAGAAGAGTGGAGATTCCTAAGCACAGAACATTAAAACTTTAACAACTCTGTTAATGCCAGTTTGAGTGGCAGAGCAGGAAATCGGCTGAAAATGAACAAAGGGCTGCTCAGTGGGGAATCTAACACAAGCAAAAGCCAATTCACACTTCGACAGGCCTCCTGTGGCAGCTTCCTTGACTGCGCAGACATTTTAGCCAGATAATGAGCAAAACCAAACATTTTAGCATAATGAACTGTTTTGGAGGAAAGAACACCTGAGGGAGGGGAATCTTGGTGCTAATTATTTGCCAGCTGATCTGGCTGTCGATGAAATACCAGAGGATTTTGTTGACAGGCATCCCTTTTGCATGTCAAATCATGAACACTGAATGGAACTTCATTACTTGTCCTAGCTGCTTAGCTGTTGACGATGGCTGCCATTAACATGAGGGAAATTTAGCTACTTTGGGTTGCTTCCTAAAATGGAAAGCCTATTTGTTTGCCAACAGCTATAGCACTTTTGGGATGGGGAAGGATAGCAGCTACGGACATGAGACTTCACATTCACTGTTTATTTGGGCTACTGCAGGGAAATTAAGCATAGAAGCACTCTGGTGGTTAACTAGTCTGGGGTGGTGTGTTTATGTGAAGCAGATGGTTGACTGCTGTACTTTGCCATCAGATTATTGAGCTGGCTTCAGATCCTCTTCTGTGGTTTCCCAGTAGTGTTGGCTTTGCATTTGCTATATAGCATTTTGCCTCAAGGGTAGCACCTTGTGTGTCTCTGTCAGGGTAGTTTACACTATCCTTCATGTTAACTTTTTTTCCCCCCTCTTGGCAAGTTCATAATGCAAATGGCTTGCTGTCATTCTGGATTAATTGATGGCCTCAGACCCAAAGATGCCATTTCCTAATGGCATGATATTGATCTCTTGTGCTCCAAGCATGGCAGAGCTCTGTGCTGCTAACTGTTCTGACATCTGTACATCTGATGAAGTGAGCTGTAGCTCACGAAAGCTCATGCTCAAATAAATTGGTTAGTCTCTAAGGTGCCACAAGTACTCCTTTTCTTTTTGCGAATACAGACTAACACGGCTGTTCCTCTGAAACCTGTTCTGACTACAGTTGCTGAAGCAGAAATCCTGTTTGAAACTTAGCTGATGGCTTGCTTACTGTATGACTGAGGATATGGTGATCAAGGGAAGTGCCCCAAGTCCTGCACATTGTCGTCATGACAGTGTTTTATTCAGAAGGCTGGGTGTTCACATGATCAAAGTAGCATTCTCTTGCTTTTGGATTCATCTAATTTTGACTAATACGGTCTCAGCTGTATGAGCCTCGGCATCAGTCCCTTGCGCTCTATATGGCTTAGTCAGCAGTGCTTGAAGTGGTTACTTAAAGAAAGGAGGTGGCCCTGTGCTGCTATTCCAGAAATCTTTCTTCAGTTATGAGGCCCACACTTTCCCTCCCCTGACCTCTAGGGGATGGAGAAGACCCGGAGTTTCATATCAGTTTGTAGTGTGGAGCCCCCACTCTACATGGTGGCAGCAGTGCTGTGAAGATTGGCTTGCTCCCAGAGCCCTGATTAGTTAAGGGGTAGGCAAACAAGGGGAGGTGGCCTCTCCATCCCCGTAGAGTCCCGTTGGCTAGAGGGCTGGCAGGAGATCCCACTTCTACTTCCTGTTCCTCCCACTGGATGGTGGTGACGCTGTCTGAGAAGAGACTGCATGGGGCCCAGCAGCTGGTATCTGCTGCTGCTGCAGGGACACAGCAGGCCTAGAGTTTGAGGTCAGGGCTGGGAGATGTGTCTGGGGAGCAGATGGGGTCCCTGGCAGTACGAGTTTGCACTGCATGTAAGGATCTGCCCCCTCCCAAAGGAAAGCGGTGCGTCAATCAGTGACTGAGGGACGGAAGCTGGAGGGGCAGTTTGGACTGTATGTTGATGCATTTTGAGCTTCACTGTGAAGCACTGAATTCTTTTATGCTCTCCTTAGCTGTCCCTTTCAGTGACACTGCGAGGCATAGAGTAAAAGTGAGGGGCTCCCCTCTAAGGCAGGTGGTTCCTATCATAGTAATGACCTTCATGGCTGAGGTCACCACAGTGCAAGGTCTCCTGGTGCTTATGGCTTCCCCATCAAGGACCTATTGGTGGCAAGGGAGTGACTTCCTTTTTTTTTTTTTAAACCACGTGCTGCAGCTAAACTGTCCTTAGTAAATTAAACCTATATCCAGAGTATTAAGCCCAGATATAACTATATCCAGAGTATTAAGCCCTGCCCCCCACTTCTGCATCACATACGGGATTGTTTTCATTATAAATGCAAATTAACTTTCACGCCTTCTTTGATCCTAGAATTGGGGCCAAGCTATACAAGCTCCTATCACCAATCAGTGGCTTGGCCTGATGATTGCTCTAATTATCTGTAGAAGTGCAGCCTGTTTCAATGTTGGTCTAGACTGCTGGTGTTGGGCTGTCAGATCTTGGAAGGGAGATTTCACACAGTGTGGTTTCATTCTGTAGAGACCTTACCTGCTCCACTCCTTTTATTTATTTTTAAAGGAAGTGCCTTGCTCTCCATTTTAGAGATCATCGCTAAATATTGCACCAGTGGTGAATGTGTAGATTGGCAAGGCAATTGGTTGCTGTCTGTCTAGCTCCAAGACTGCTTCAGGCGGGCTGGAAATCTTGAGTGCCTGTACTTGCTGGGTTCCTGGCACTTGATGACATGGTCAAGCAGGAAGTGCGTAGACCCTCATTCATAATAATAATAGGATGGTAGCAGCAGGAGCTAACCAAGCATTTTTATTTGCTCACGTCAGGCCAAAATCTGTCCTGATTTGTACCCAATAGAAGCCCACCGTTTTCAGCGAGTTACAAGCTTATTGTCTTTTGGTGGAGTTAAATGGAGTGTAAATTGGGTCCTTTTCTTTAGTAGAGAGGCAAAACTCCTGTTGTCTCTGACCCATACATAAATTTACTGGGGGAGGGGGAGGGCAAATAGGAGCGAGTGTTCTCCAGATTTTTATTTTAACTAAATTTTGTAATCTTTACAACTATTGAAGATAAGAGTTTCAGGACACTCCAGGAATGCAGTGAATGGGAATCAGGTTTATCTGATCGTGCATTGCTTTAGTATAGTCTCCCTAGCTTTCTAAACCAAGATTTACTGACAATGTATTGATCTGCAAAGTTCAGCATTTTATAAAGTGCCCAGTTACTAAAGCACTTCATATATGTGTGGTAGTGGAATGAATAGGAGTGTTTATTCAATTCAAACTAAACAAGAACCTTACAAATTTTTAGCCTTTACAGTTCTGAGTGATAGTTCAGCTTGAGTCTTTATCTAATCAGTTCTTCCATCCTAAATGATTGGAAACCCATCCACAGTGGATACTGCAGTGATTAGAAACTTAATAAATATCCATGTTATAGAGAGAATTATTTTTAAGTCTTTCTTTGTTGTAGATTATAGAAATCAGATAAAGGTACTGTGGAATACCAATCACTAAGTTCCTAAGTTCCTTGAAATTCACTTTGCTTTAACCTGTCCTGAAGACTTAATGATTGTCATATTTGGCTCAGTCGATTTAAAAACCTTTTCCCCCATCCCACTTTTTTTTTCAGTATCCTGATTTCCCCATGGATTAACTATATGCATCTTCCAGTAGGAATACATAGATCATACTTAATACTTACATTTGGATTTAAATTGATGTCAGACAATTCTCTTTCTAATACCATTTTCTTCTATTCCTGCATTTTTAAGCCTCCCCCCCCTTTTTTTTTAAGAGAAGGTGGTTTCTCTACTGTACAGTAGCTGAAGCTATAGCAAGGAAATGTGACTTTAAAAGAACAGGATCTCTTAAGCATAGGCAATTTAATTCAAGTATGGTGATTTAGTGCCCTGTTAGTATCCTGAAGTATTACTCCATTTCCAAAGACCAGGCGTTTCTTCACAAGCATGATGACAGGCTTAAAACTTGAGACTGATGTTACAGCTTTTCCTCATCTCTGCTGTTCCACATGATTACAGGACTAAGGGAATTTGCTCTCTCCTATAGGATTAGCTCCCAGAGAAATAAATCCGTGTGTATTATCACCCCACTTGTCTCTTCTTTCCCTCCCTCCCCAAAAGGCTATAGTGCCAATTTAGATTGTGAAGTGGTCCTGTGGTTAATAAAACGTTTTCTCACCTGAAGCCAGGACCTGGGATGAGACACTATCTATAAAAATGGTCACGGATTAACTTTTAAAAGTAGCTTTTGCTTTCAGTATAATCTTAGCTTCTGTTTATTTTTTCTTCCTCGGAAGATGATGGCCCTTACTCGAAGGGGAGCAAAGACTCAAGTGGACTGGACACAGCCCTCGTCTCCAGAAGGCAAAGCATTCCAGGTAAATGAAAGAACTAGTACTTGTTCCCACTCTCATCTAGCCATCATCCCCCATGGGCAGCATAGCAGTAATCAGAGCAACGGACTGCAGAAGAAGGAGGTATGGTTGGTATCATTGTGGGTGGAATGTAACAGGCACTAAACTGTGCAGATTTGTTCTGAGTTCTTACTACAATAGTGGTTAAAATGTGCCAAGCGCTACACAGGTGTGGAGAGACTATCCAGGCCCTGAAGATCTTACAATTTAAAAGAAGTGGAGGGTAGGAGGTAGAGGGGAAGGCAGGAGGAAAGAAGTGGTGAGGGTGATCAGCAAATGTCTTGCTAGTTCGTTATTTTATTGGATTTGGTAGAAATAACTATGCACATTTGCCTGTCTCCCCAGTAACTTTTGTTCTGTTGGCTGCTGTTATCTGTTACTTGGTGACACTTCCTTGCCTATTTTATTTGGTAACTTTTTTTACCCCTTGCCTATTAATTCAAGTTTATAAAACCTTCACAGAAGATTAGGGTTGGAAGAGACCTCAGGAGGTCATCTAGTCCAACCCTCTACTCAAAGCAGGACCAACACCAACTAAATCATCCCAGCCAGGGCTTTGTCAAGCCTGACCTTAAAAACCTCTAAGGAAGGAGATTCCACCACCTCCCTAGGTAACCCATTCCAGTGCTTCACCACCCTCCTAGTGAAAAAGTTTTTCCTTATATCCAGCTTAAACCTCCCCCACTGTACCTTGAGACCATTACTCCTTGTTCTATCATCTACTCCTTGTTCTAGAACAGTCTAGATCCATCCTCTTTGGAACCCCCTTTCAGGTAGTTGAAAGCAGCTATCTAATCCCCCCATCATTCTTCTCTGCTGCAGACTTTCCCCTTCCACTTGTGCTGATCAAGGAGCCTTAGTCTATCAACTCCCCCATTGCTGCCCCATGAGACGTACGGACACCCTCCACTCTGCCATTCGCTCCAGAGGTCCTTGCTCAATGGACAAGTCTACAAGGTAGTCTGGTGGTGTGATTGCAGCACGTGTAGGTGAACTCAAGCTAGCTCACTAAAAATAGCTGTGAAGCTACAGTGGCACAGGCCCGTATAAGCCCACCCAGGATCCTGGGTACACGCTCAGGCGAATGACCTGTGCTGCCATGGCTTTACTGCTGTTTTTAAAGAGCTAGCTCAATCAAAGCTAGCTTGGTTATGTCTACACAGACTCCAGTCACACCACCTAACAGCAGTGTAGATGTACGCAGTGAGAAGACAAAAACCAGCCAGTTGCTCAGTCGGTGCATGATGATTGGAACCCGGTGAAAGGAGTTTGTGATCTAAGCCTAGTTCTGAATGGGCAAGTATCTGCAGCACAATTGGCAGCCTGTCTGGGAGGTACAGCTTGAAGCTGGGGATATGAATAAACTTGGAACTCGAGACTCTGTTTCGCTCTTAAATTTGGGCCCAGGTTGGGGCCTGTGGGCACTACAAGTGTACTGAAGCTGGCTGAAGACTGGAAACCTGAAACATTTAAAACTTCAAAGCTTTTTCTGTTTCACAGGATGCCAAACACTCATTTTTGTATTTTTTGGGACTTTGTTTACACTGTATTTTTAATCAGAACCATTATCAAAATGGTGCTTGATGTTTTCCATTTGCCAAACCCAGGTTTTTCAGTAAATGGCTTACCAAATCCAGTAAATGAAAAACTTCTATAACCGGTTTTGTTTTGTTTTTAAAAAGGCTTTGGAAAAATGGCAAAAAATTAAACCTTTTCAAGAAAAGGCTGGTGCGGGGAGGGCAGTTCCTGTGAAATTCTTCATTTTTAAAAACTTTTTGTCAACCTTTTACCAGGTTTAAAAATTTCATTGAGGCATCCTGGGAGCAAACACAGTGCTAAACACTGCGTGTAGATTGGGACTGAGATGTTTAGCAGCATGTCTGCTCTTCGTGATCCATCCTGGGGTCACACTGTAGTTACTTGTGACCGATGTCCTCTAGGGTTAACCCTGACCATGAGCAATGTGAAATATGATTATGCCAACCTCTAAATGGTGTTTAACATTATGTTAGGTACCATGACTCCTCAGTCACATTCTAACATGATGTAATTTTCCAGTGCAGAAAAGCCAACAGGGGGCCAAAGATGTAGTGTAGCAATGGAGAGACTTTCACTGCTGTTACTGGTGGTAGGCCTCTTCTGTAGACCATTACAATGCTCTTGAACAGTGTCAGATGGTCACGCTGGACAACGAACACACATTCTGAAAAAGATTGGGGCTTGGTAGCCTCATATTTGTGTTGAAAGATGAAAGTAAGAAAAGTAGAGAGAGGATCTGTGGGATTTGTACTGAATGTGGTTTTTGAGGAGCGGGGGTGGGACAGATATTTGGCCCTGCTCTATTGCTTTTGCACCCTTTGGGAGTCCTCAGGTGGAAACAGGCTAACGTAGCTAGCTCTGTGCCTCCTGCTCTTGGCCTCCCTGGTGTAGTGGGTATTCCACGGATGGGAGGGTCCATTCCCAGTCTGCACTGTGTTCTTGTGATCCTGGGCTGGAGCAAGAGACTATAGACTATTCTAACATGTCCTGGAGGTTCAATAAGTCCCTGACTGTATGTGAAGGGGACAAAAAGGTGTTGGAAAGCTGTGTTGATGTAACTTGTCCGTGACCTGGAGGGGGTCACTGTTAGGGATGAGAGGGGTGGTTAATTCACCAAGCCTGGCCAGTCATTGGTCTCTCTTCTGAGACTGTCAACAAAGGTGGTGGTAGTGAATTATGATGGGAAGCCAGATTGGAACCCCAAATCATTTTAGATAGGCCACTGGTTAGGTGTTTCATAAAATGATTTTGGGGGTGGCTCTTGGATGTCTTGCCAATAATTAACTATCTGGCTTGTCTTGTCTTAGGTATCTTGGAGGAGGGATAGCTTAGTGGTTTGAGCATTGGTCTGCTAAACCCAGGGTTGTGAGTTCAATCCTTGAGGGGGCCATTTAGGGATCTGGAGCAAAAAAAAATTGGGGATTGGTCCTGCTTTGAGCAGGGGATTGGACTAGATGATCTTCTGAGGTCCCTTCCAACTCTGATATTCTATGATTGGAAAACCTAGATCCCATTTAGTCAGCTTACTTAACGGACATTGTTTATCTTGACAGATAGATAGAAAAACAATTCTCCAATTTCATTCTAGGTGTTGAGTTTCAACTTGAACCCGCAAGATGGATAATTGCACAATGGGATTTCTCATTTTTAACACTTGTCAAGGACCAAAATCAAGCCCCGTTGAAGAACTAATAATTACCCCTTGTGGCTCCATCTGTGTTGATCGGTAGTCTCTTTAGTCAAAAGGAAATTTGCAAGATCATGCCAGATGGCATTCTGTTTAGAACAGCAGGGAATAGTGGGGAAAGTTTCTGTCAGTTACTGAAATCCTGGATTGGTGAATTGAAAACTGTTACTGTACTTGGCGGTGGATCAAAACTGTTTGAGTTTAAAGACCAGGAGCATAATGGACATAAAATTTGAGAGTGGATCAACGCTTGCCATGTTAAATGGGGGCACAGCAGAGATTGAATACCTTCCAAACAATGCTCGATCACAAAGAGGTTCCCCACTCACATTAATCAAGTGCATAGGCTCCTGGTGGCGGCGGAGGATCTGCTTTACAGAACAGCAACATGCAGAGTGACTTAAAAGAAATTGCACCTTGCTTTGTTACTGTGACATTGCACAAAGAGCAAAGTGCCAGCCAGACCTCGCAGACTGATTGTTATTTGGCACCACACCATATTAAAACGATGATGTATACTCCGAGCAAAAGGGGAAAAAACAACCCTACAGTTGCAGAGAGCTACTGTAGTGATAAATGATTTCCGAGATTTCCAGGGCCTGAAAATGCAAACTGTACACATCTTTAAATGTTCCCCCTCTCTGTAGCAAATCTCATTTGAGCCTGCTGCATTATTCCATCCAGACAAACTCATTTTTGACTATTCACTGTAAAGATGCAAGATTTTAGCTTGTAGCCTCCAAAGCCCTGATCTGGAGTTGCTCTTCACGGTGCATTGCAAGTGGCCAGCGTCCCCTTCTTGCGAGTCTTTTCTGTATCACACAGCGTATTTTTCTCTTAAGGTTAGAAATTGTCTTTTTAAAAAATTGTAAATGATCTTAATGCTCATGAAAAATGGAGACTAATCGCTCATAGCGTAGACAGATTCTATGCAAGTTTCCTATACCGAGCTCTGTCAAGACACCCAAGGTTTTTTTTGTTTTTTCCAGTGTCTTCAGCTGTTCCTAGTCTTCTGCCTGAGGAAAGAGAGCCCATAATATGCTGTTTATGTCATGCAGACAAACAGCCCCAGGAGGCTAGTCTGAGACTGTCCGATTCAGCTGCAACCCAGTTGAGATTTGCATCCCAGGGTCCAGAGATAGGCAATGCCCTACCTCTCCCTCTGTGCCAATGCAGGGCGCGTTTGAAAATTCCACCAACATTTATTTTCCTTCTGCTTCCCTGTCCATGTAAAATACCAAAATGCAAATCGTTGGAGTCTGGCTTTAAACCCTTCAAACACTAGGTGTAAGGTGTCAAAAACTGGCACCAATTAACAGTGTTTAACATTTGTTGTGTATGCAAGGGCAATATTGTTCCCCAATTGCAAAGAAACAAAAATTCATACTTAAAATAATTGAAGGGGCAGGGGAGGGAAGAATGTAATGTCCACAGGAAAAAGAGAACTGACGTTAACACAGTAGACAAGGGGATTAAGTACCACATAATTGACTCTGTTATAAATATTTATAACCATTATGTCTTGTAAAACATACTCTGCCTATATCCATTATAAGTGTCCAATACTTTTGACTCCAGCTGGGTATGGAAAATGTCAAAACATCTGTGACAAGTCAGGCAAGCTGAGGAAGGGTGGAGTACAGGTGCAGTTGAGAACTATCCTAAATGAAAGGATTTCATCCATCCTCCTCATCTCCCTAGCCACCTGTTCATATGCCAACAGAATCTGATTCCTTCCCATCTCATACCCTGCACTTACCAAATCTTACCACTCCTTCCACCACAAAATTTCTAAGATCAATCATGTGTTATCTGTCCAGGCCCACATCTCCTCTCTTGATTTATTGTGACCTCCTCTTCCCCAGCCTCCCTCACACTCACGCTACCTCTCTCTGGTCCATCTGCTGCTGAGACAATCGCTCTTGGCCCTTGCTCTGGCCTGATCACACCACATTTGAATCCCTCTGCAGCCTTCCTCTGTTTTACTTGATCAAGCTCCAGCTTCTCGTCCTCGCACACACAGTCCTTTGCAGCTCTGCTTCCTCCTCACAGCACCTTCTTCCATCCCACCGCTTATACACGGAATACTTTTCCTCAGCTGATCCAGACAGCCACTCCTACACCAAATCTCTCCTCAGAAAATATCCTTACAGGCCTTGAAGTAGAAGTATGTCCCCACAGCAGCTAGACACCTCACAGGGTCCTAAAGCAAAGTCTACCCAGCAGTGAAACAGCCCTGCAGCCCAAGCCCGAGTCAGCTGGCACAGGCTGTGTAGACACACACCCCAGAAATCAGCCAATTTAATGATGCACTGAGGGGGCAGATAAGATGAGCTGGCATTTTAGTTATCATTTATGTTTTTAAAAGTTGCATATAAAATCAACTGTGTGCATATTTGGTTGCATCGCACTACTCACCTCAACTTTTGTACATCACTTGTTTTAGTATATAAGCTGACAGGGCTAGTCAATTATCTTTTGTCAAGGTTCAGATTTCTTGGTCAAGGTATAGTCAAGGTCCAGACTCCAGAGAAACATTTTTCACACCGCAATAATGATGGTGATAAGTAAGTAAAAAGATTTTGCAGTCATTCAAAAATATCTGGCTGTCCGGATTTAGCCCATGGTCCACCTATTGACTACCCTGAGGAGTGTGACTTGAGACAACTCCCACCATAACTGGATTCTGATTCTGTTTGGTGCCTCTGGGCACTAGTGTAATATAAACATTTAGTCGTAGTAATTGTTTACAATGTGGTTCGGGTTACTCCCAAGCATCAAATGTCTAAATAGGTACAGATATTTTGTCACGATCCAAAATAGGTAGGAGTGGCCTGGAAGAAACCATAAATTTCTGCCTGAGTTTCCCTAAAAGGAGATATTGCTTCCGAAGAGAAAAGGGAGAAATGAGATGAACAAGTTGACAGGAAAGAGAACCATCCTATTGTCGTCTTTTTTTTTCTTCGCCCTCTCTTCTCCCTTTCCTCTACCCTTCTGCTGCTGCTATCCCCGTCTCATTTTTTTTCTGTGTCTTCCCCCCCCCCCCAAAAGAAATTAACTAGTTCTATGCTCGGTCCCACCATGCACTGGGATATAGTGCTCCCAGGGTGTGAGCCAAAGGTACCTTCCACTGAGACTTTCGCAGTTACAGTTTGATTTGTTTCTGATATTTATCTTCAGAGGAATTCAGAGGGGTCACCATTGTGGAGCTGATTAAGAAAGAAGGAAGCACCCTTGGCTTAACTATATCCGGTGGCACAGACAAAGATGGAAAGCCAAGGGTCTCAAACCTGAGGCCAGGAGGACTGGCAGCAAGGTGAGAAAATCTGTGTTGTATGTGGATGTATTGAATATGTATAAGGACAAGTGAGTTGTCCTTGGATTATTTTGTAATGGTACCAGGAGATGTAAAGTTGTTCATCTCATAGGAAAAGCCTGTTGTTCCAGTCAGAGTTTATTTCCTATGATCCATGCAGCGATCAAGAAACAACATTTTAGAACAGGTTTTGGAATGCTTAAACCAAACAAGTTTCTGTAGTTTCTCTCAATCCCATCAGTTACTAACAAAAGTGGTTCCACAAAACCCAGGCAGTTTTATTTTTTAATGTATCTAAGTAGTAGATTACGTACTGACTCGGGTGAGTGAATACACTTGGCCTAATTCTGAACCAACTCGAACACTGGGGGCTTAAGTTTAACTCCAGCACTAACATTGTCATTGTAGGATTCATGATCAACTAGGAGACCGTGGAGAGGAGTGAGGGAGAAGACACGGTGAAGGGGGGAGAAAAGGGCAGGGAAATAATAGAGTAATTTTGCAGGGAGCCAGCAGAAAGAGGAAAAAACAGAACTTGTCTTGTTTGCTGGAACTTTTTCCAGAGGTTGCACTTGACATTGGTCTCTGGTTTTCCCATGATAACCTCTCACAGCGAGGTGAGTGGCGTGGAGGGAAGTTGCAAAGACGTATTTTTCAATTATTATTATTTGTCTGAATCTAAAGGTTTTCCCCTAGAAAAATAGTCGATGGGCACATTTTCCAGCCAAGTGGAAATATTTCATATTCCTTTTGATAATACAGCTAAGATTGGTTAATTTGGGGTGGCATTTTTTACAAAATGCTCCAGTAGAGAAGATGTCCCAGGCAGAACATAATGGAGAATGTTATTGTTGCTGTTGTTTCTTTACAGAAGTGATCAGTTAAACGTTGGAGACTACATCAAGTCAGTGAATGGGATTAACCTGACTAAACTGCGGCATGACGAAATTATAAGCCTGTTGAAGAATGTAGGGGAAAAGGTGGTACTGGAGGTGGAGTATGAACTGCCCCCAGCTGGTGTGTGTCTCTAAAATAATGTTACTTTCTTTGCTTGACTGTCTCATTCTGTGATACAGATGGGATTTGTTTGTTATGCCCTTTACCACAAAGAATGTTTAATGGGGCAGCATTATGTTCTGTCTTCATCCGTCTGTGAAACATTGGTAGAGGTTGCAGATCCACTCTTCAAGTGCAGTTAGTTCTCTCTATTTCCAGCATAGCTGCTGTCTGCTCATGCACGCTGGCTGTGACTTGGCAGCAAATCCCTGATCTGCGTCCCCCCTGCCCTCTGTTGTTGGTTTTTGTTTTTTTAAGTGTATCGTGGTTGTAGGAAAGTATTCAGAATCCTAACTGCCCATTAACTACACCTCTCTGCTTTCTCAGTTTAACTGTATTAAATGTTGTTTCTTCTGAGCACTTTCATTTACTACATGTCTTCAACAGGTAGGCTGAAAAACTATGTTCTGTAGCTAGAGAGTCTTAAACCCAGATGTAGATGAACCAGTTCATCTACAAGAAGGATTCTGTTACGAGGGCTGGAAATTTTTGGCTTAATATTTATTATTAAGAACAAAGCAATAATGCAAAAAAATCTTGAAAAACACATTCATTGAGGCCTTTCCACCATAAGAATGATACTCACAATATTGACGTCCCCTGTGATTTCACCCTCCCCCCCCCCCCCGGAAAAAAATAACTAACCACCCAAAAAAAAAAATCTTGAAACAAATCAACCTGAATCAGAAAGGAAAAGTAAACTAATAAAATTAATCCCTCATTCTACTGAGCATGCTCACTTTTAGTGTGTCTGAGATTCTTTCACCCTACATCTCCCTAAACTAGTTGCGTAAAGGACCCAAAGTGAGGGAGATTGGCAGAAAGCACCATTAATGGTAAAATGAATACACTCCTTAATGGCTGCGCATCAGAGAATGGACATTTTTTGTTATTCTTCATTCACTGTACTTTCTTGACCTTAAATGGAGCAGTATATTCAGCATCAAGTTACTGATTTTCCCCTAGGATCAGTTTAAAGCATTCACTTCCTTTTTTTTCACCCCTCTAAAAGTCAAAGTGTGTGTGTGTGGGGGGGGAAATCCTCATTACTAAAAGGTCGGTTTAGGATTTTTTTATTTTTTTAGGTCAACAGTTGACTGTGTTTGTGTTTTAATTAAAAACATCAAGAATTTTTCATCTCTGACTGAGGCTGCTGGCTTTTGAATGGCATTGAACACAGTGAAACTGGCTGAGATATGGCAGGGTTTCACTTTAGTGTCAAAGTATTAGTGTAGGCAGATTTGGGGAAATCTAGAATATAAATGAAGCTGTATTTTAATGCTATTATTTCCTAGTCTTAAGAGGAAAAGGCACTTATGTTTGGGTTACAGGCATCTTTCTCCTTTTCCTCCCACATATAGCACCGGAGAGCAGCTCTGGCATTATTCCAAAGACCATAGAGGTGTGTCTGTACAAGGAGGGCAACAGTTTTGGCTTTGTGCTAAGAGGTCAGTGACTTCTCAGAGGAGGATAATAAAGACTGGATGTACAAAATATTGGTTGGGGTGCCTCTGAGAACGGGGGAAGGAAAGGGATGAGTGAAATGAGTGTTGAAAATCTTGTATGAGAAACAAAACTCTGCCTTGAAGTACGTGCTGACCAACCTTCAAGGATTGCTGGCTGGCTAGCCAGAGTCGTATTTGCTTGCAAGTTTTGTCCGCTATTAAATGAAAAATGTCTAGTCTAATTAATGTCTATTAAGACAATAAGGTATTCAGCTCTAGAGATTAGTTACTCAAGGCTTTTCTGGTTTTTTTCTAGGGGGAGCCCATGAAGATTGGCACAAATCCAGACCATTAGTACTCACCTACGTGAGGCCAGGTGGCCCTGCAGACAGGTAATGCTCACGTTTTATCTTCTTTCCCAATGGAGGTTAACAAAATGTATGCACAGCTCTAACCAGACGTCAGGATATAAAAGCCCATCTCATCTGTCTCTCCTGGGTATTTAATTACGGCTTTCAATGTAGAGGTCTTGTAAAGTTGTAGTTGCTCTCCAAACATAGTCATAGGATGGCTATCTTGATATATCTTGGTCTCCTGTAGGGATGTGTGTGTGTTATGCCTAGGAGTACCTCTTCCAAAATGATCACTTAATTAGCTGAATGTAAATCTCTCAGGGGCCACCATTGCTATGATAGAGGGTAATGTAGTAAGGGATCTGAGGCAGGGATCTCTTTATTCTCATATTGCTAATTAAACACGATGGACATCAGACTATAAACTATTGTCCAGGGGAATGTTCAGATCATGTTTGATCGAGTTTTGTACTGAATTCTACCTCTGGCTTCCTTCAGGGAGGGTTCCTTGAAAATCGGGGACAGGCTGCTGAGTGTTGATGGGATTCCCCTTCACAGCATAACTCATGCTGATGCACTGAACATCCTGCGTCAGTGCAGCCAGGAGGCACTCTTCCAGATCGAGTATGATGTCACCATTATGGGTAAGGACAAGCAAACTGGAGGGGCTGAAAGAGCTGCTCTGGGGTGAATTTTTCAGTGGGTGCCTGGGAGGTTAAGTACTTGCTCTTAGAGTTATGCCAACTGCATTAGTTGATTTCAGTGGGAAATCACTGAGTAAGGTACTTCTCAACATAGGAAAGGCAGAGTCTGGCCCATGGTTGGTAGAGCTCTGAGTAGGTTTAGATGATAAAGGGATTGAACTGCTGATACTCCGTTTTCATCAGTGATGGCAACAGTGGCTCTTTTTATGAGAGGAAATGATTAGTGTGGACAAGGCACAGACAGGAAGTCCCAGGGGCTGGGGCTGAAGAGGTACAGAAATGGGAGCTGTATGCTGTCTGGGAAGACCGCAAATGCCTGTTGTAAATCTGGGCAGAAGACAGACTAATTGACTAATGGATATTGGACATGGACATATTTTGGTTCGGGAGCTTGAACATGTCTCAGTTTAGGGATCAGAGTAGCAGCCGTGTTAGTCTGTATCTGTAAAAAGAAAAGGAGGACTTGTGACACCTTAGAGACTAACAAATTTATTAGAGCATAAGCTTTCGTGAGCTACATGCATCCGATGAAGTGAGCTGTAGCTCATGAAAGCTTATGCTCTAATAAATTTGTTAGTCTCTAAGGTGCCACAAGTACTCCTTTTCTTTTTTCAGTTTAGGGAGGTTCAGTTTCAGGGGGTTTAGTTCAGATCAATTTCTAATAGAAACAAGAAGTGGTCAGTGGAAACTCTCAATTAAAGAACACCTGCTAGAAAGGGACAGGATGAGGAGGTATTTCTGAACGATTTCCTTAAGGGTCTGAGTTTCAGACCATGGGGGAGGGGTTGTGGTTAACTGCTGTATAACAACTTAGAGCTGCTCTTTAACACACACATTACTTCCGTGAGCATAGTTAATGGGTTTAAAGTTATCAGAGTCCAAAGCTGTGTTGGCTATGGAAGCTCAGCGAAGTGTCGTTAGATTCTGATTCCAGGCACAATTCTTGAGAGGGGTTTCTGCCACTGCCAGAGTCACAAGCTGGACCAATTATTTCTGGAGCCTTTTCTGCCAACCCCATGTAGCAGGTCAGCATGTCTGGAGCCAGCAAGAGAAGAGGCTAATGAGGTCAGATTGTTTCCTGATTTGCCAGCCAGGTGGGAAATCAAAGGTGGCTGCAGTCCAGAGAGCATTAATGAGTTTTCTCAAGGAGAAAAGGATTAGAGGGCTATAGAGCTGTTTCCCAAGTTGAAATCTTTTGAGAGCTTTGCACAATGTGTTTGGTGTCATAAGATGTCTCCAGAATTATTCACTCAGAGAAACAAAATGTCAGAGGGTTGTTGTTTTATTTGTGGGTCCCCCCCCCCACACGCACACTTTCTTAAAATCTCTCTTCTCCCATTCCTATTTCTCCTGCTTTCAACAAAAACTCCTCACAAATAAATACAGTCCACAGTCTCTCTCCTCAAGAGAGACTCAGGGGTGTTGGAAGGCATCTCTACTCTGACTTGCATTGGCAGAGGTGTGTGAAGGAAGCTTGCACACTAGTTACCTGCCCTCTGCCTGCCTCTATCCACATTTCAAATGCAGTCTCACTTTCATAGTTTATCTAGTGCCACAAGGTTTTTGAGCCCTGTAATAGGGTGTAACAGGGCCAGATGCCTGGAGCCAGCCAGGCCAGGTCATTAATCAGATATGGCTATGAAAGGAATAGATGCACCTTATAAAGAGCTGCAGCAAATGGCTGGGAAAAGGGGGTGTCTGCAGAGAGAATCTACAGGCAGACCCTTGAGCAGGGGAAAAACTCCGGGAAGAAAGGCTCAGGAGAGCAGCCCTGTGGCCACTGTCCTGCGTAAGGGTCAGAGAACTGGGAGAGAACTGAGCATGAAGAAAGCCAAGGGCCTGCAGAGTGGCAGAGGAGATGTTTGCTGCTGATCTCTTCGAGTGCTTCGGTGAGGGAAGGCCAAAGGAAGTACCTTGTGTGCTGTCCCGAAGAAGAGATAGGGAGCAGAGAGAGAGAACCCAGGAGGCACAGGACTTGTATTAAGCCCAGAGCAGGTGGACATTGTTATTGTCTTGTTTGAAGAAAGACTGAAAAAGAGTCGAGTGGAAAAAATGTGGCAGACTTTGAGGTGTTTTGAGTTACAATAATGAGTGTAGTTTGTCTTTGAGACATGTAATAAGTTACCCCATGATAAGGGTCCTCTACCCACAAAAGTGTATTTCAGGAGTGTTTGGATTGACACTAGGAAGGGAGGGGAAACTGAGGCTAGGTGCCTGTGGGGCGCCATCCACCCCACATGAGAGGGCACCAGAGAGAGGCCTGACATGGAACAAGTCCTTTCCACTGTTTCTGTGGTATTCTTTATCACTCTAGTTTATTTGTAGTTTTCTGAATACTAGCAGTTCCAGAAATCTCAATAGGGAAGATCCACTGCCTTCTTAGTTGTTGCTATTTTTCAGCTGTCTTTTGGACAATCAGGTGAACTGGATTAAGGAATGCTCTGCAGAATGGAATGCTTGTGTAGAACTTCATGACTCCAAGTGTCTGTGCAAATGCAAACAGCTTATGGTGGGTGAGAAGCAGGCTTTTAAGATACATCCTAGGTTCATATTTTGCAAAGGGTTGATGGTTTTAAAACTTGACTTAGTCACACTAAGAGAGATCAGTTCAAGTCTCTTGCATTTCTTCATAACTTTACACCTAAATATTAGGGAAGGAACATAGAACAGTGGTCTGACTTGGTACAGCCAATCTTAGCTGAGTCCATATATATAGGACAGTTTCTCCATAAAGAGTTATTCTAATTCTGTAGAAGTGGAATCAAGATGTACTTTCCTTGCTTTTGTTGTCTGAGACAGGAAGGACAGAGCTTTTATTATTATTATTATTTTATGGGAAGCACAAAAATGTCACTTATTGTTTTAAATGTTGCCGTCTAAAGAGGACGGTTCACCAGCCTTCCACATGGGAAGTGGGGTAGGAGAAAGGTGTGAGACACCAAAATAGTAGCTAATATGCGAGCAAACTTCCCCTGCCACTAGTCCTGTGGAGAGTAATGTTTGTTCCTTTTGTTTTTGATTGCTTCTCAGCATCATTGAACATAACTTAATGTGAAATTATTTTAACTCTTCATTACTGTAATCCAAATATGGGAGGGGAGATTATGCTATTTCTAAGCTTCTGTCCATTGGGCAAATTCATTTTTTGGACTAGTGTTTTACATTTTTAGGTGGGGCAGAGAAACCATTAGAAGTCCCCTCTCTTCTGCTCTCCATGAAGGCAACAGTCTCCCCACAGGAGGTGCATGTTTACAAATGTGCAACCAATGTGCTGTGAGGACCTTCTGTCTACAGAGCTGGCAAGGCTGCCCATGGCTCAGCAGATGCTGGCTTCGCCCCCTGAAGCAGGAGGGAGCATTTTTAGTTATACTGATTTAAAGTGAATTAAAAATGAGTCTTTAATTGTCCCTCCGTGGTTTTTCCTTTAATTTAGTTTTTACAGTTGCTTACTTTATCGCATGTTCCTCTCACGCTGGTTAACTCTTCCTGAGATTGTTTTGGTCTGAAAGGAGAAATAACCTTAATTCTTTCAGAAAGTAATAAAGGGAAAGCATGTGTTGGGAGTGTGGATTTTCTCCCTCCCTCATTCAACTGTTAGTTCCTAGTTTGCTCCTGAAGTAGGGGACATGGACCTCCAAGGGGCCAGGATGAACACTGGCAAATTAATAATTTGTACAGATTGTGTTCTCCATCTGAGGACATCAAAACCTCTTGCAAACATTCAATTAAATAGTCCCCATTTTACAGCTGGGAAACGTAAGTCACAGAGCATCTGAGTGACTTGTCCAAGGCCCTACAGCATATTGGTGACAGAGCTAGGACTCGACCCCAGAGCTCCTCACACATGGTCATTGCTATAACCACTAGGCTTTGCTCCTTCCAGTTGAGCTGGCAGGAAGATGCTGAAGTGCCTCTGGTACTTCCTGATACTTCACTGGGGCCATGGAGATCCATTTGCCTGAAGCAGTGAAGCAAATTAACTTGCACACTGATAAGCTATCTGGGAAAATGTAAAATATAAGAAGTGGTGAGGACTGACTGCTGTGGAGTGCAGGTATTGTTTTGATTGCTGTCCTTCGTAGGAGCCCGGTCAGTAGAAGGTGCTGAGAGGATCTTCTGAATCCTGGCATTTCCCAGGTGCACAGGCAGTGTGGTCAGCACTGCCCACTTCTGAGAGCAGCGGGGTTCCAGACAGCTCTTCCAAATGCAGGGAGATTGCAGTAGTGCTCCATTGCTGCAGGACTTTCCCACCTCAGCAGATGTTTCACCTGGAGGAGGGAAGAGGGGAAGCGACTATGCGCCAGGGTTTTTCACCAGTGGAAACCTGGGTGGAACTGGGCCACAGGGTGTGCTCTTTTAACTGGTGCTTTCACGGCTAAATTGCTACCTTAGCTGAGTTTTTTCAAAGCCACCTAAGGAGTTAAATTGGACTCCCATTAAAATGAATAGGAATTCAGTGTCCAAATCCCGAAGGCAGCTTTGAAAGTCTTTGCCCTGGTATTTACTGTAGCATTTGTCTAGCAACAGCAGTAGCAAACGTTTTCCTGCGTCAACATTGTATTTCATGGGCTCTTCTAAAGCAATATGCATCATTTAAACAGTGACTTTGTAAATAAGCTGTATCTGCTGCTGCACAGAGCACGGGGCTGAAGGCTTTTAAGATTGACTCACAGTTTGGGGAAGCTATCTGCTGGAGAAGATGAATGGACAGAGGGTTGCTGTGTTCTCCACCCTCTCTCCTTTCCCAGCTGCCTACCAGCCCACTAACATTAGCTGGAGACTACAGTTCTGTGTGGCTCTCCCGGTGAGAAAGCAGAGAGAGACGAATGTCCTTCAGCATTAAATGAACAGTTGACTGCTCTACGTGAGCTGAGTGGTGGCAGTGTCCGTCTGCCCTTCAGGGGTGACCCATGAAACTGTATAAACTTACACGAACTCTC